CATGACCTACTAAACATGGATGAGAGGTGACGGATGTCACACAGTATGGCCTGCTAGGACATCTGGGGACAAACTGGAGGAAGTTGAGTAACAGCTTCAGAAAAGGGAGACAGCTGAAAAATTCACCATTTTTAGAAGCAAATGAAGTAGGGAATTTTCCAAGGATTTCCAGGGAATCTGTCTGGAGGGGTGGGATGGTTTGGAGAGCTCCCCCATCTTATGGAAGAGGAGTGGTCATAGCCACAGATTAAGACAGAACCTCAGGAAATCAGCACTGTACTTGAGGTAGTAGACTTTATTTTGCATTTATTTATGGAAGGGGAGAGGGTGGTAAATGTGGGCCATGGTACAAAGATGGAGGTGAGTGAGTTCTATCCTTTAACCCTGTGGGAACCAGGGATGGAACTCAAACTCTGAGGCTTGGCAGCAAGCCCCTTTATGTGATGAGCCATCTCACAGGCCCAGAAAGAGACATTTTTAAACATCTTTAAAGAGAAGGAAAAGAGGAAGGAGGAAAGCAAAAGGCAGCACCCACAGAGGGCAGGGAGGCTTTGGAGAAACCTCTCTACTAGACACTGTACCAAAGCAACAGCAAGAAGTCCCTCTTCAAAATGCACTTCCTGAGCTGGCAAGGTGGCTCAGCCAGTAAGAGGACTGCTGCCAAGCCTGGTGAACTGAGTTCAATTCCCACAACCTGTGTGGTGGAAGGAGAGAACGGATGCTCGCAAGTTGCTCTCTGTCGGCCACTGGCACACCATGCCACATTCACACACATGCATACACACACATGTGTACTTACACATACGTGTACTCACTCACACACACACATATACACATGTACACACATGTACACAACAGATAAATAAATAAATAAATTTTTTAAAGGCCCCTCCAGAGGGAATCCCAGCCACCCCGTACCATAGTTTGTAAACTGCACACTTCAGAAACCCAGAGTGAGTGTCAGAGAACTAAAGACTGAAATCTAGCCAGCAGAATAGCTCTAGACTGCAAGGAGAAACTGAGTCAGAACAATGCTGCATTCAACAAGACAGAAACTTAGTCAGAGACCAAGTATGCAAAGAAACAAACAAGGCTTCCAAGCATCCAAGGCCATCAGGAAGGACTGCTCGGAGGCTGGACCAGCATATGTATTGCTACCGCCGAAAGGTCTTTCACTGATGAGCCCAGCATCTGTGAACTAACCTTACAAAAGACCACCCATGAAGGAACACGGGGTGTGATGGACATCTGGGGCCCAGGAAGGAACACGGGGTGTGAGGGGCATCTGGGGCCCAGGAAGGAACACGGGTGTGATGGACATCTGGAACTCAGGAGGGAACACCAAGAAAAGATAAAGCCATCAGCTCCTGAGAGCAGGACTAAGTTGTCTGGTTGCATCTCTTTCCCTCTCTTTGTCTTTTCAGTCTACTTTAGCCACAGTTGTTCCATCCCACATATCCTTACTGGCCCCTTACTTTTTTAATATTTGATTTTAATTCTGTGTCTATGGTGGAGTACATACACATGAGTGCAGATGTCAATCAGAGGCATAGGGCTCCCTGGAGCTGCAACCCCAGGGATTGTGAGCCACCCACATGATGTGGGTGATCAGGACTGAACTCGAGAGCAGCAGGTGCTCCACACTGTAAGATGCCCGTTCTGTTTTCATGCCGCTATGGTCACGAGTCTCCTCCGCTTTGATTCTTTCCGTTTCCATCATGCCCACCGTGACTGACATCATAGCGCACACAGTGTCATTGGTCCTTTACATCACATGGTACTGCAGTTGAGGAGGCGATTTTATGTGCCTGTTACTGTGTTCACAATAGGAACTTGAAGTAACTTCATGTGAATAAAGCTAAAAGTCAGGATGAGGAGAACCCGTGGAACTATACAAACTGATGGAGACCAAACAACACCTACCAAATAACAACGAGTCACTGAAGAAACCAGAGGGAAATGAGAAAATCGCAACACCAATGAAAATGAGAACACACCCACCAAAAGCTACAGGATAAATGCAGTTCTAGGGGGCAGAAAGTTTATAACTCAGGTGCCTTCATTTAAAAAAAAAAATCAGAGGTTTTCAGCAGTTAAGAGCACTGACTGCTCTTACAGAGGTCTGGGCTTTGGTTCCCAATGCCTGCATGGTGACGCACAACCACCTGTGATGCTCTTTTATGGCTTCTACAGGTGCCAGGCATGCACATGATGTCTGCACATACATGTAGACAAATATTCACACATCATAAAATAAAGATAAATAGACACCTTCTTTAAAAACCAGAGGGCTATCAAATAAATCACTTCATGGCACCTTAAGTCATAGACAAACAAGAGCAAGACAGCCCTAAAATCAGCACATGGAAACAAAGAATTGAGATTATGGAAAAATTAAACAAGAAATAAAAAAATCCATGAAGAATTGATGAAACAAAGAATTGTTCTTTGAAAAAATAAACAAAACTGGCAAACTTTTAGCCAAATGAACTAAGAAAGTAGCCCAAACTAACAAAGTTATAAGTGAAAGGGAGTGAATACAACAGATATCAATGAAATTTAGAAAATCATTAAGACATACCCCAGAATATTATATTCCAATGAACCTGAAAGATCTAAATGAAATGTATGAATGTCTAGCTATAAAGACCTACCAAGATTAAACTAAGAAGAGATAAGCCAGGGCCAGAGAGGAGCTGCATTCTGATATAGTCTTTGTGTGTAGCTTGGCAAGAAACCTAGAGAGAGGAGACTTCTGCTTCCTCGAAAAGCTGGGAACAAAGAAGGTATCTTGAGGCTGGGGAAATAGCTCAGCATCTTGTAGAGGACCCAGGTTTAGTTCCCAGCATCTAATTCAGGTGACTCACAACCAGCTGTAACTCCAGCTCCAGGGAATCCAGCGCCCTCTTCTGGCTTCTGTAAGTACTATACTCAAAAGCACAAATCTACACTTGCACACATGCATGCACGCACGCGCGCACACACACACAAATACACCATCAATATTTTAAGAAGTGAAACTAAGGGTTGCAGAGATAGCTCAGTGGTTAAGAGCACTCATTGCTCTTGCATCCTTAAGTACCTGGATTCAGTTCCCTGCACCCACACGGTGGCTTACGAGCATACACAACTACAGTTTCAGGAGACACGACATCCTCTTCTGGCCCCTGCAAGCATCTGCCACACATGTGGTTCACATACACACATTCAGCAAAACACTAATACTCATAAAATAAAAGAAATATAAAAGAAAAACTTTTTTTAAAAAATGGAAATTAAACCTCATATATTCTGCCAAGCAAAGAAAAAGACAGACAGGCATAAAGACAGGCATTCCTCCATAGCAGTTTTTCTACAAGGAAGAGAGCAAAGTTCTCAGAACATAACAAACTTCCAAACGACAAGAACCTGCTTCACTGAAAATAGATAAATTGTGAGAGGCAGGAAGCGAGAAGCCAGCGCACAGAGATATAGCGGAACAGCAATGAAGTACGAACGCTGTGCTCCCTGTCAGCCCCAAGGTCTGTCCCAGCATCATCCGGGCATGGTGGGACTTGCAGGAATCCAGGTCACTCTGCCTTCCAGGTACCTGAAGCATAAAATGTAACAAAAGACCGAGACACTAGAAAATTCTGATGGGAATTCGTAGAGAAAGAGAAGTTCAGGGGAGCAGCATGAGACATGCCACAATTCAGGCCATGATTAATTGCAAGAGTGGAGGGGCTGGAGGGCTGGGAGGCGGGTGAGGTCACCCCAGGGCAAGTAGACAGTAGCATAAGAGGGAAGGCTGTTTGAACAAGACAAATGCAGGGCTCTGAAGAAGGCTGGCCTGGAAAGTTGGCCCTGTGTTACTCTTCTTTATTTTATTATTAGTGTATTATCATGCTTTCATTTCTATAACTATGAGAAAATAAAGTTGTCCAAAAACAACTCTAAAAAGCAGGTGTTTATTTGGGCTTGCAGTTCCAGGTCTCTCCATTACAAGGGGCAGGAGCTTGAGACTTATGACCACACCCCACCCACAGTCAAGAGCAGAGAGATATGAATTCATGTGTGCAAGTTTGCGTGTGCTTGGCTCCATTTCTCCACCCTGCTTAGGTAATGGTGCCACCCACATTGGGCTGTGTCCTCCGATGTTAACAATCAAGACAATTTCCCACAGACATGGCCATGGACCAACCCAATGTAGGAAAACCTGCACCTCTGAGATTCTATTCCCAAGTAAGTCTAGGTTACGTCGAGTTGACAAAGCTAACCATCATGGTACATAGTGATGAGAGTTTCTAAGATTTATTTTTTATTTTTAATTATATGTATGGATATGTGTCTGCACATGGGTGTGTGCACATGAGGCAGGTACTCATAGAGACCAGATGAGGGCATCAGATACCCTGGAGCTGGAGTCACACGAGGCTGTGACACGCACAACATGGTGCTGGGAACTGAACTTGGGTTCTGTGCAAAAGCAGTATGCACTCCTAGTTGCTGAGCCGTCTCTCCAGCACACAGTGGTAAGTCTCATACACGAACATTCATCAAGCATGTTATGTACTTTGTATCCACTCCCATCCCTTTTCTCACCTCCTTTCCCTAGTCTAGCACTGTCTCCATGGGATCTTCCCGCTGTCTCCCCATCACTCTCCGTCACCTCCCAGCTGAGCTCGCAAAGCAAACACACTCTGGCTTCCTGCTGCACTCCCCAAATTCTCCAGTGACTTAAATCAGAAGAATTCATGATAGTCTATTGATTTTCCTGAGTTCTATCAAACCTTCATTCTTTGACATACGCAGTATTAATTGCAAGGTGGATCTGGGGAGAAGTCCCAGTAGGCAAAGTGCTTGACACACAAGCACAAAGATCCAAGTTCCAATTCTCAGAACCCACATCAAAAATAAATAAAAGGGCTTCTGCCTCTTGCAATCTTCATGCTGAGAAGACAGAGGCAGGCAGGTCTCTGGGGCTAGCACTGGTTAGTGAGATACATGTCTCAAAAACCAAGATGGCAGTTGACAAGATGGCCGGTCAGGTAAGGGGCTTGCCAGCCTATAGCTTGTGCTGACGTAGCTTATTATACAAGCATGCAGAAGCCAAAGGCTATGACTATGCAAAGGCTATGGTCCCAGATACTTTCTAGACCCACCACAGACTCTTCATCTTCCCTGCACGTAGGAGGAATTTGTCCCCATTTTATAGCTGTAGAAACTTATTTTGAGTCATTAAACTGTCTGTACTAATTCGCTGATGGTGTAAGTATTGAGATGCGTTAGCAACCCAAATTGTCTGACCATCAGACAACTACAGTCCAGAAAACCTCATCTTCTAACTCTGCTAAGAAATCAATAAATAATGATCGTTATTATAACACTAGTATCATTGTTTTGGGTCAAATACTGCGCCAAGGACTCCCCTTGAGTTAGTGTTAAATTTAAGAAAAGAAACTTTTCAGGGCAGAACTCAGCCAAGCATGGGTCAGGGATCCTAACCCCAGCCTCTGCTGACTCCTGCCAAGCCCCCACTCCATGTCATGCAGCTGGGGTGGTCAAAACTTGCCCAAATGCACCAACCAGGTGCCTGACAGGTGCCACAGGCACCAGGCGGCTGCTCACTGTAATGATCTCTGTGTGGTGAGGAAGCATGGCCCAAGCCAGCAACGCGGCAACCTGAGCGGGAGAAGGAGACCCACATGCAGGCCTGGGCCTTTCTGCCCCAGGTTCTGAGGAGAAAACTCAGGTCCACCTGGTACCTTGCAGCCCCCGACAGACAGGCACTGTTAGAGTGGGCAGAGGTGTGGTCTGGTTTGGTGTGGGAGAGACAGAATGGCTCGGGTCCTGTGGAGAGAAGTGTATCTGAAGAGACAAAAGAGGAAGGGAAGAGACATGAGAGGAAGGAGCAGGCTGAGACGGAACTGGCTGAGCAGGGAGCTGCCCCCTGTACCAGCTGCAACATATGGGAAGGTATTGGGGCAGCCCAGCAGAGACGGCCCTGTGGATGAGAGCACAGGCGAGCCAACCCTGAGAATGTGAGCGTGGGAGACCTAGTCCCACCCCTCATCCGCCAGGAGGCAGCACAGGCTGGGGAGAGTCACCCTGCCCTTGCACCAGTCCATCAGTGCCTAAGGCAGGTGGAAGTTGACCTGAGGTGACAAGAGCAGGAGAGCTGCCCTGTTCTCTATCAGGCCTTGCATCTTTCCTGGGCAACACAGTAGTGCCAACCCTGTTGGTGAAGGTGTGAGTGAAATCAGTCCTGAAGTTGTAAGTGTGGGAGCGTTATCTGTCTGTCACTGCTTGTCTGTCAGATGGTAGTGTGGGAGGGTGAGAGAAGCCTTCACCTCCTTATCCCTCACCCCCTTACTGCCTACAACAGATGAGAGAGCTGACCCTCCCCCTTACAAGCTGCAGCCCTCAGGAAATGGGTCCGGCCCTTCTCCTAGGCAGCACAGGGGTTAGAAGTGAGGGTGAAACAGCTCCAGTGTTAAGAGCAAAAGAAAATTGTCCCCATTACTCATCAGACATGTGGTAGCTTGGGCAGAGGAGAGATGCCATCCCTGCCACCTTCTGCCCATCAGCACCTGAGACAGGTGGAGGAGCTGGACCTGGGGCCATAAGAGCAGGAGGACTGTCCCTGCCCCTCACCAACTGCAGCACTCAGGAGAGTGGCCTCTGTATCTCACCTGGGCAACACAATAGAGTTGGGCCTGATGGTGTAGGTGGGGGAGAGCCAACCCAGAAGGCCTGAAAAGCAGGAGAACCGGCCCCAACCCTCCTTCAATGCTGCAAGAGGTGAATTCGCAGAGCAATGCTGGAGAGCTCACCCTGGCGGTGAGGACAGGGGAGAACTAGCTGACAGACCAACCAACCCTATAGCTGCCTAAGTCCAGAACCAGGATTATGACTTGGCTTGCCCCAGCATCCACCCCATCTATCTACTGGAGTACATGACGGGGCCTGACCCACAGACCCAGAGCCGCAGGATCTCAACACATAGCAACAGCAGAATATCCAAGAGGAGTCCCAGTGAAGGTCCAGCATCGACAGTATAGCAGAAACCAGGGGCCTCAAACCAGTTATTGGCTCTTTGTAATGAACACTTGCAAGTAAAGATGTATGGACGAAGGGTTTATTGTGTGACTCACCATGTCACACTGCAGCTTCCATGATAATATTTTTTATTGTTTTTATTGAGCTCTACATTTTTCTCTGCTCCCCTCCCTGCCTCTCTCCTCCCCTTCAACCCTCTTCCATGGACCCCATGCTCCCAATTTACTCAGGAGATCTTGTCTTTTTCTACTTCTCATGTAGATTAGATCCATGTATGCCTCTCTTAGGGTCCTCATTGTTGTCTAGGTTCTCTGGGATTGTGAATTGTAGGCTAGGTTTTTTTTTTTTTTGCTTTATGTTTAAGAACCACTTATGAATGAGTACTTATGAGTAACAATTATTATCATAATTGTCTTTCTGGATCAGGGTTACCTCACTCAATATGATGTTTTCTAGATCCATCCATTTGCCTGTAAATTTCACGATGTCAGTATTTTTTCTGCTGTGTAGTACTCCATTGTGTAAATGCACCACATTTTCCTTATCCATTCTTTGGTTGAGGGGCATTTAGGTTGTTTCCAGGTTCTGTCTATGACAAACAATGCTGCTATGAACATAGTTGAGCACATGTTCTTGGGGTACTATTGAGAATCCTTTGTGTATGTATATACCCAAAAGTGGTATTGCTAAGTCTTGAGGAAAGTTGTTTCCTTATTTTCTGAGAAATCACCATACTGGTATCCAAAGGGGCTGTACCAGCTTACACTCCCACCAGCAATGCAGGAGTGTTCCCTTTATCCCACATCTTCTCTAGCATCCAATCCAAGTTGTCATCAGTGTTTTTGATCTTGGCCATTCTTACAGGTGTAAGATGGAATCTCAGAGTTGTTTTGGTTTGCAATTTCTCTGATGACTAAGAATGTTGAGCATTTTTTTAAATTTTAGATTCCTCTGTTGGGAGTTCTCTGTTTAAATCTGCACCCCATTTTTAGTGGATTATTTGTTCTTTTGATGTTTAATTTCTTGAGTTCTTTGTATATTTTGGTTCCTTTTTTTAAGATTTATTTATTATTTATTATGTATACAACATTCTGCCTCAATGTATGCCCGCACGCCAGAGCAGGGCACCAGATCTCAGTACAGATGGTTGTGAGCCACCATGTGGTTGCTGGGAATTGAACTCAGGACCTCTGGAAGAGCAGCCAGTGCTCTTAACCTTTGAGCCATCTCTCCAGCCCCTCTTTGTATATTTTGGAGATCAGAACTTTGTCAGATGTGGGGTTGGTGAAGATCTTTTCCCATTCTGTAGGCTGTCGTTTTGTCTTGTTGACCATGTCCTTTGCTTTACAGAAGCTTTTCAGTTTCAGGAGGTCCCATTTATTAATTGTTTCTCTCAATGTCTGCTGCTGGGGTTATATTTAAGAAGTGGTATCCTGTGCCAATACGTTCAAGTGTACTTCCCACTTTCTCTTCTATGAAGTTCAGTGTGGCTGGCTTTATATTGAGGTCTTTGAACCATTTGGACTTGAGTTTTATGCATGGTTATAGATATGGATATATTTTCATTCTTCTACATGTATCTTCTAAATATATCCAGTTATGCCAGCTCCATTTGCTGAATATGCTTTCTTTTTTCCATTTTATACTTTTTGCTTGTCAAAACTCAGGTGTTCATAGGTGTGTGGATTAATATCCAGGTCTTCAATCCATGACGAAATTTTCAATTTTTCCCCGTTTCTTCACATTTTTCTCTTAAATTTTTTTTTATTTGGGGGAGATGCAGGGGCAGAGGGTGGATGTAAAGGGATGGGGAAATGAATGGAATCAAGATATATGATGCAAAAGATGAGTAGAAAAAAATGAAAAAAAAACATAAAAAAGGGAAGAAAAGAAACTTTTCAAAAATTGACTAATACTTCTATTTTATCACCATGAACAATCAGGATCATATTTGTGAGGTTGCACCAGGCTCCGATGCAGTAATGTTTAATTCCAAGTCTCACTAGCTTCGCGAAGGTAACATTTAATCTGTGAAAGCCGTTCATGCCAGCATCTAACACAAATCAGTGGAGGCTTCATTCCAACGCTTGCTTACGGTCCAAATTAGCAGGTTTTGTCACCAAGTGTGGACCATCTTGAACACGGGCTTGTTCATCATCCAAAAAGCAAAAGCACAAGCATGGTTTGCTCACCACGGAAGAAATAATCCCAACTTAAACGCAGGACAGTAGAGTGGAGCATGTACAATAAGCACGTGGATGCTTGTGTGCATGTGTCTATGTTTGTGTGTGCCCTCACAGTGATGCAGGCGCATGCATGCGCATGTGGAGTCCAGAGAGCAACCTTTTCTGTTGCGCCTTAGCTGCTATCCGCCTTGTTCTGAGGTTATTGGGGGAAGGGTTGTTTGTTGTTGTTGTTGTTGTTGTTGTTGTTGCTTGAGGCATAGTTTCAATGTGTAGTGTGGAATCACTGTATAGACCAGGCTGGCCTTGAACTCACAGAGATCGGCCTTCCTCTGCCTCCAGAGTCCTGGGATTAAAGGCTTGTGTCACCCCACCAAGCAGACATCTTGTTTTTTGAGACAGTGTGTCTCCTTGCCCTGGAGCTCACCAAGCAGGTGAGGCTGGCTGTCCGTCCAACTCCTCGGCCTCCCATTCAGTCCACCGCCTCTGCCTTCCCAGGACTAGTATTATAAACACATGAAACCATGTCGGCTTCTTTACATGGGTTCTTGGGATCAAACTCAAGAACTCATACTTTAACACTTTTCCGACTGAACTATTCCCAGAACAATGGATACTGGGTGAGCCATAAATTCTCTTGTTGGACTCAGAACGACAGGCTAAACGACAGAGCAGAGCCTTGAAACTCCTGTGCATCGCTCCAAGGTCCCTGTTCCACTGTAGGATCCAGATAAAGCATTCCTCTAAACCTATCAAAATGCTGATCCAGCCAAGTTAGGGCTGCAGGATAATTCAGGTGCCCTTAGTCACCCCAGGCATGGACTCCCGTCCATCTCAGAGGCCGCTCGGATACATAGCACCATCGGCTCTCCTGTGCAGGTTTACTTCAGTCCCTGTCAACCACCATTTATGTCTGACATGTGTTGCCTCTGTAGTCCAAGGCTTTTATGCAGTTCATCCCTTGGTCTGTGTGCTTATAAAATCATAACAATCTAACAACAATTTGCTCAGAACAATAAAAAATACTTTGAAAATGAGTTCAAGAGGTTGGAGTAATGTGACTCAATGATTAAGAATACTTGCTGTGTCAGGCGGTGGTGTTGCGCGCCTTTATTCCCAATACTCAGAAGGCAGAGGCAGGTGTTATCTCTGTGTGTTCAAGGCCAGCCTGGTATAAAAGAGCTAGTTCCAGGACAGACACCAAAGCTACAGAGAGAAACCTTGCAAAAAAAAAAAAAAAAAAACTTGCTGTGGAGTAGCAAGGACAAGAGTTCAAATCCCAGCACCCACACAACAAACCCGGCATCCTGCCCATACCAATAATCCCAGCTCTGAGGAGGTGGAGACAGGAGGATTACTGATGTTTGCTGGCTTCCAGCCTAGGGAGAAAACAAGAGCCCTGGGACCAGGGAGAGCCCCTGCCTCAAAGGAACGAGGGACAATGCTAGAGGAGCACACCAGCACCCTCTTCTGCTCTCCAAGTGCACAGGCACACACACCTGCACACACACAAATAAACTAATCAAATAAATGAATTTTTAAAAAGAAAAGAAGTTTACAACATAAAGGTGGAAATACCAAGAACAGTGTCTTAGGGTTTCTATTGCTGTGAAGATGACCATGGCAACTCTTATCAAGGAAAACATTTAACTGGAGCTGGCTTACAGCAGAGGTTCAGTCCTTTATCCTCATGGTGAGAAGCTTGGCAGCATGCAGGCAGACAGGATGCTGGAG